AGCATTCGGGGCTGAAGTAGCAAAGGCAATCACGCAAAACTTCAGCATTCTAGTAGACGGGCCTGAAGTAGCAAGTGTGCCGAACCAAGTGTACTGAAGTTTTTGTTTGTAATTGCTGAACTTAACTACTTAAGCATAGTAACTGAAGTTTTGTTCTCTATCTGCTGAAGTTTTTGTTTGTAATTGCACTAAATAAGCTGAAGTTTTTTTGTCCTGGATTCATTAGTTTTGTCATTAAACTTTTTCACAAACTTCAGCAGAAGATGCTGAAGTTATTTAGTTCATTTATAAAAACTTCAGCACTAAATAAGCTAAAGTTTTTTTGTCCTGGATAAGTTTTTTCACAAACTTTAATTTGATAACTAAAAGACATTCTTAAAAGACACTGTGAAAAAAGACAGAAATAATCATCGCTAAGGATCAATATTGTATCGGTAAAAGTGGCAATTTGTGGAGGCATACATACACATTACAGTACACAGTCTCTCATGGGAGTGTTCAGGCAGCAGAAAGAAGAAGAAGAAGAAAACGAATGAGGAAGAGAAATGGAGTTGGAGTTGTTTAAAAAGTAGGTACAAGTTAAAATTTTTTAAATAAATGGGTATAGGTTAAATGGGGGCAATCAAATAGGGCGGCCCATACGATTTTTACCTATCTATTTATGCCGCAAAGAGACTTTTGGCATTTAATTTTTTTTTTTTGCCAAAAAACAATTACAAAAAATCTTTGGCTTTTGAGATTTGTGGAAATTTCACATGGTTAGCTCGTTGGCCCACCTTCCATTTCTATTAATTGTAATTTTGCCCACTTAATTTCATATAATTTGCATTTATGTTGGGCACTTTGTGCAAAAAGGCTGATGTGCTTAAATATAGAGGATTGCATTCTGCTCTATAATTTTCTTTTGTACTTGATTTTTTTTATACTATATCTCTTATCCAAAGGACTCAATCTATCTTTTATTCTAGACATCATAATTTTGGTTATCCATTCACTATGTAAACATTATATACTTAGTAAAATATTCCATCCGTTTCAATTTGTGCGAACATATTTAATTGTGCACGAAATTAAGAAAAAAAGAATTTTTTTTTGAACTTGCGACATAAAATAAAAAACATATATTTTCTGTGAATATAACTTATTGCATAAAGATAAATTATGTACGTTGCAAAGGGACTTTAGGTATTTAAGAAACTTTTCAGCCATTAGTCGAGGCTCTTGTAGACTCGGACACCCGGTGCAAATAAAGAAAAAAAAAAAAACACTAGTTTTGACCCTCCACTCTTTCGCGCCAAAAGCTTTTACCCTCCTTAGGAACAGTGAAACAGCGCCAAAAAAGAAAAACCCGCGAAATTTAACTAAGGTAAAATCTATTACCGCCAAAACTTTCAATGCGTACAAAAGAAAAAAGCCCTCTTTCAATCCTTTCTATAGTCTCTCAAAAAGTTTCAATTCATTTGCTCAGCTTTTCGTAACAAAAAATCTCAAGAACTTATGCTCTTTCTTTTCTAGTTTTAATACCTTTTATTATTTGCTCAAAATCAATGGAAATGGAATCAAAGGTTGAGGAAGGGGTTCTGCCTCTTGACTTTGTGGAATCAGAGAATGAGAAGAAAATAAAGATGATCAAATCAATCATAGGTTCCGAAATTACAGAAAAGGCCATTCTTGAGGCGCTTTCTCAACAAAACAATAATCCAGAGGCAGCCATTAACCACTTGCTCGATTCTTCGCCACCGTCAGCCGTTCACAAGACTGTTACTAGCACTGGGGTTAGGATTTCTGCTACTGTAAAACAAGAAAATGTTGAAGAATCAGTGGGTTTTGGAACAGTTCATGGGCTAAAAGTTAAAGAAGAACCTGATCTGGTTATTAATGAAAAAGGGCTAGAAGTGGAACAGAAGAAGGTTTTTGATGGTTATGAATCAAAAGGGTCTGTTGGTAAATGTGATTTGAGCTTTGATGGTGAAGAAATGGTTAATGGACTAAAAGTTAAAGAAGAACCTGATATGGGTATTGAGGAAAAAGGGCTAAAAGTAGAAGAAAAGAAGGTTCTTGATGGTTATGAATCAAAAGGGTCTGTTGGTAAATGGGATTTGAGCTTTGATGAATGGTTAAAGTTGCCCGAAAACAATCGACACATCGATACACAGAAGCCGAAAGACGAAGAAAAGAAACTGGAAATCATGAAAATTAAAGATGAGCAGCAAGATGTACTTTGTGTTGAACCATTGTCAGCAAGGCCATTAGAATACAATTCACTGAAAAGTAGCAATATGGCTATTAGTGCAAAACAAGAATACAACAGACTGAAAAGCAACAATGTGGCTATTTCTGCAAATATGGAAAAAATGGAAATGAAGAAAAATATGCTTAGTACTATTGTGATAGAAGATGGAGATTTTCCTGAAGATCCTGATTGGTTATTAGTTGGGAGAACTATTGTTACTGGGCTTTCAACTACAAAAGGGAGAAAATTGGTAAATAATGAAATTGTTCATTTTGCTTTTCCTCAACAAGGAAATAGTAAGTGTAGTTCACAATGGGGTGGATCAAGAGCTGCTGTTGCTGCTGCATCTTCCATTGTTCGATTCTCGACGAAAAGATTTGGGGAGGTAAACTTGAATTCAATCATATTATTAGCATCACTGTTTTAGTACGTAGTCTTGTTATTCACTTTGCTATGAAGTTTCTTGTTTTCTAGTAGGCCGAAGCTTATTCAGAATTTAAATTTGATAGATTCGTTGTTGTTCCAAATTTAACACTTATTGATATTTTAATAGCTCGATTGAACTCGTTCTCGGTTGAGAGTCTATTGGAAAGAACCTTTCTACCCTCCCCAGACCTTACCTGTGGGAGTATATCGTGTTTGTCGTTGTTGTTGTTGTTTGAACCCATTGCAGAAACACTCTATCTGCCTCTGTTAGCAGGGAATATAAGTTTTGAGTTTAAGTTCTATTTTTACATAATCAGGTCAATTATTAGGCAATTACAAATGAACAATTGATATTTGTAAAAAAAAAAAGTTAACTAACTTGCTACCAGAGGTTAAAATTCATTGATAGTGTAAATAAATTTTACACCTTCATAACTTAACTCCTAAGATTCTTGGCATTGAACTCTCAATTTTGAAATGAGTTTAAGTTATATACATTCTCGATGGAAAGAATGTTTTACACTATCAGGTTTTGATATATAGGTAAGCCTCCTTAAAATATGGTATTTGTAATCTTGAAAATAAGATTGGTTATCTGCTATAACATGCAAAGGTGATGTGATAGTGTAAAGATACCTTAAACTTACAGTGCTATAACTTTGAAATTATGGATTTAGATTTAACATTTGTTGAAAAGTTAATAATTTTTAGATATGTGTCTATACTCGGTGTAAACATTATTGGGTTTGATCGAACCTGTTGCATAAACATTATCTACCACTGCTAGTATGGAGTTGGTATTTCCACATTTTGTCATGTATTATTTCAAGTGAAAATCTTGAATTTTGAAGCTGAGATCATGCTAATACGAAATCAAACTTATTTCTATTTTTTAAACGACTTGACAGATTGGACGCCTACCAATGGAATGGGCAAAATGCCTCATTCCACTTGTAAATTCTTCAAAGGTAAAGGTTCATGGCCGATGTGTTGCTGCGCCTGTAACTCTGCAGCTAATGCAGGAGCTTATGTTGTATGTAAGGTAAAACACATACTGTTCTTTAAAAGTTTGTATTAATGAGCTTAGTATATATTGTACGTTATATGTAAATCATGCTCTTTTGTTTACAGTTTCTACATCCACCAGTCAGTGTTTACTAGCGGCGATAAGTCAACTTGGAAGCTGGATTCTCCCTCACAAATTGATACTACAACATATCCACTACTTACTTTGTTCAGGTTACTCAAAGTCAAACCATTTCAAAATGTATGTTAGATATAGTTTATTGTTCAATGAATGGAAACAATTCAAAGCTCCGTTTAGTTTCTTACTGACGTCTGCCTTCTCTTTTGCTAATGTTTTTCAGGCTGAGTTCACTCCGGATGAACTTTATTCTCGTAAACGCCAGCTCAATTTAGATGTATGTTGATTCTTAATTGTGTTATCTCACTATTGTTTCCTCATTTCAGTTGCCATGTTCTCAATATATAGAAGCAAGAATAACAAACTGTTTGTTGTACTTAATAGTTTTTTTAGCGCAAGTTACACATTTGGCATGTCGGCCATAAATAATTACATCTGCTAGCCAAACATAAAAAAATATGTATAAAATATCTGTATTATATGTATATTGTACATTAATATACAAAAAATGTTACATTTTGCCAGCTATTATTTTTGAAGCGGCAATACTGTGTAGTTTTCCCTCTTCTTTTTTTACCAGTGCAACAATATGCTGATTAGAATATTACTGATGTTCTGCTTATTGTTGACAGTGTGATTCAAATGAGGCTGCTTCAGCATTACCAATAGCAAAACGAAGAAACGGCTGCCAGCAGTATTCAGAGCAAAACAAGGATGACCATGATATCTCTGAAGCATCGTTTAACAAACTTGTTGGTTCTGTAGACATGTATGACTTGAAGGTGTAATCCAATTGACATACTTCTTTTTAGTAAAACTGAAATGAGATAATGTCGAAGCTTATACCTTTTACATTGTATAGGAAATGGACGCTCCGGATACACTTATGTGCAGCCTAAGGCCTTATCAGAAGGAGGCTCTTTACTGGATGTCAGAATCAGAGAAAGGAAGTGATGTTGAGGAAACATCTAAAACTCTTCATCCGTGTTGGGCAGCGTATCGGATATGTGAAGAGTAGGCACTTCTCTCACTGAATAAGATGTTGCAAATATTTGATCTTTAAACATAAATCACTGACCAAATTTCTCCAACAGGAGAAAAATTTATGTCAATATTTTCTCTGGTGAAGCAACGACAGAGTTCCCAACTGCATCAAAGTCAGCGCGAGGAGGGGTGAGATTTTCTTTCTACTGATTAATTTACTACCTTTTGTGTTTCTTACTTTTAGTTCATTTATCATTCTTTTGTTTGTCTAAATTAATTTTATCTCTGCAGATATTGGCAGATGCTATGGGGCTTGGAAAAACAGTAATGACAATTGCCTTAATACTTGCAAAAATGGGCAGGGGTGGTAGCACTGATGATCAGGTATGTGTCTCTGAAGACGTAGATGAAGATGAACGTATAACAAAAAGAATCACTTATGCTGATACAGAAGTCTCAAGAAAGGCGAAAGGCGGCACTCTCATTGTCTGTCCTATGGCATTACTTGGCCAGTGGAAGGTAATTCTCATAAAACAAGTAATGAAATGCAGACATGAGTTCTGCACAGTATTTTCTCTGAATTTCACGAGGATTTTTTTGGGCCACGTTTCACTTAATTCCTGTTGTTTTCCTTTGAATGCTAGGATGAACTTGAAGCACATTCAAAACCTGGTAGTGTTTCAGTTTTCGTTCATTATGGTGGGGACAGAAGTAATGACCCTAAAGTGATGGCAGAACAAGATGTAGTCCTAACAACTTATGGTGTCTTGAGTGCAACTTACAAGGCTGTAAGTATTAATTAATGGATGTCATTTTCAAGTATTAACATACATAATTAGTTCGACATCATCTTCCTCGCTATCATTGTTATTCTAATGCCAGCTTTGTTGTCCCTCAGGATAGGGAGAATAGCATATTTCATAAAGTTGATTGGCACCGAGTGGTTCTAGACGAGGCACACACCATAAAATCTTGGAAGACTCTCGGTGCACAGGCTGCGTTTACTTTGTCAGCACATTGTAGGTGGTGTCTTACTGGTACTCCTCTTCAGGTATGTCACAAAAATTGCATGATTACACTTGATATACTTCAGTTCTTTTGGTTCACATAATTTTCTTCTAATTGAGATGAATGGTGATTGCTATCTCATCCGACTTTCTAACTAAGAATGATGATATTTTATGATCTATATTGATGTAATAAGTACTATAATTGGTGCAGAATAATTTGGAGGACCTTTACAGCCTTTTATGTTTCTTGCACGTTGAGCCATGGTGCAACTGGGCATGGTATGTATAGATGAATAGTTTCTTTTTATGTTTAGCGAAAACTACACATTATAGATGCTTCCAAAAATAATAGCCGGCAATATGTATATATACATATTCTGACATATTTTTGGTATATTTGGCTAGTAGTTGTAATTATTTTTGGCCGACCGGCCAAATGTGTAACTTACTGTGTGTTGATTAAATTGCAAAGTACTTGGCCTTTCTTCTATCTACATTAAAAAGTTCTCGGTAACATGACTGAGCTATTTCGTCGTCCTGTTTGCCCCTAATATAGGTGGAACAAGTTAATACAGCGACCTTATGAAAATGGTGATCAAAGAGCTTTAAAATTGATCAAAGCCATTTTGAGGCCACTTATGTTGAGGAGAACAAAGGATACCAAGGACAAAGAAGGAAGGTGCTTATTCTATATTTTTTGAAATCTTCATTATCCTCCTCTTCTTTCAATTGATGCAGACTTGGTATATTTCCGGGCACTTATGTGTTCTTTTGAAATCAGGCCGATTCTTGTTCTCCCTCCAACTGATATTCAAGTCATTCAGTGTATACAATCAGAAGCCGAACGTGACTTCTACGATGCCCTCTTCAAGAGATCTAAAGTAAGAATGAGAATCTTGTTCTTCCAATGTAAAACTTGAGGGGTCGTTTGGTTCAAAATCAGGATAACGATAAACCAGGATTAAAACCTGGATAACATATCCTACTTTCTATATGGGATAAGCTATATCAAGATCTTGGTATAAAAATGATACCGGTAACTCCTACCTCTAACCAAAAACGGGATACATTTAATTCCAAAATGTATACCGGAATAACCCACCTAATCCCTTGAACCAAACAGCCCTTTAATGTTGTTGGTTCTTCAAATTTTTTCCATTTAAGTGCTTTGAGTTTCTTGTATTTTTTACGCGAATGATCGTTTTTGCTAATGGAATGTATGCTTTATACTTTTTGTTTTTGATGAATAAACCAGGTTCAATTCGATCAGTTTGTGGCACAAGGAAAAGTTCTTCACAACTATGCTAATATTCTCGAATTACTACTTCGATTGAGGCAGTGCTGCAATCATCCTTTCCTTGTTATGAGGTTAAAATGAGTCTTCAATCTATTAAAACTTGAGCAACACACCTTGTTAGTTTCTTCTTGGATCTAACACTATATATTTACTGCTTGTAAATATGCAGTCGAAGCGATACGCAAGAATTTGCAGACTTAGACAAGCTAGCAAGAAGGTTCTTGGAAACAAATCCTGATTCTACAACACAGAATGCACCTACACCAGCATATGTAGAAGAAGTTGTTGAAGGAATTCGTAATGGCGAAAACACGGAATGTCCAATATGCCTTGAGTCAGCAGATGATCCTGTGTTAACACCATGTGCTCATAGAATGTGCAGAGAATGTCTACTTTCAAGCTGGAGAACACCAGCAAGTGGACTTTGTCCAATTTGTAGACAAATGATAAGGAAAAATGAGCTATTTACGTGTCCATCCGAAAATCGGTTTAGGATTGATGTTGAGAAGAATTGGCAAGAGTCATCTAAGGTTTCAAAACTGTTGGACTGCTTAGAATCTATAAGAAAATCAGGTTGTGGTGAAAAGAGCATTGTGTTTAGTCAATGGACTTCATTTCTTGATCTTTTGGAAATTCCACTCAAGAAAAAGAAAATTGGTTATTTGAGGTTTGATGGAAAATTGGTGCAGAAACAAAGAGAAAGGGTGTTGAAAGAGTTCAGTGAGACTAATGAGAAAACAGTAAGTAGTATCAATCTATGTTGCTCAGATTCTTCAAAATGTTGTCGAGTGCATGTCGGATAATCCAAAAGTAGTGCATTTTTAGAGGATCTAACGCGGGTACGACAATATTTTTGGAGAGTCGAGCAACATAGTACCAATATACTAATCTGTTTTCTTGAATATCTTTTGCTCAGCTCTTCTAAAGTTCTAACCTTTTTTTTATTTTTTATTTCAATGTGTTCAGATTTTGTTAATGTCACTAAAAGCTGGAGGCGTGGGCTTGAACTTAACAGCAGCTTCTAATGTCTTCCTCATGGTAATCTCTCTCTCATACATATATGTATATATATTATATGTTGCTTGGATCCTGCAAAAATGACTCCGCACTCGTATCAGGTCCTCCTAAATGAATAATATTTGGAGGATCGAGTCAGGGGCGAAGGTACATAGCCCTAAGGCCCTTTGTAGGTGAAATATTAGACTTTAATGTTATATAACATATATTGAACACCCTTTATTGGAGATATTTTTCCTTATTTCAAGTTCAACACCCTAAATAAAATTCCTGGCTTCGCCACGTAATCCAGTACACATGCACTTTTGGAGGACACGAGAAATATAATATATATTTTCAATGTTTTCTCTTTTCGATTTCTTGCCTTAGAAATAGCTTTTTGTAGAAATGCATGTTAAGGCTACGTGCAATAGATCTTTATTGTCCGGCCATTCCTTAGACCCCGCGCATAGCGGAAGCTTAGTACACCGAGCTATCCTTGTCACTTTTGAGTTTCTTGCCATATGATATTTGATGTTCTTACTTTTAATCATTGTAGGATCCATGGTGGAATCCTGCAGTAGAGGAGCAAGCAATAATGAGAATTCATCGTATTGGTCAAAAGAATACAGTTCGTGTTAGAAGGTTCATTGTTAAGGTAAAGATTCCTCATTGTTAAAACTTGATTTATTCATAGCGCATCACTTTGTCCAAAACTTATGTTTCACGGATTCTCCAAAATATCGCATTCGTGTTGGATTCTCAAAAATGCACTACTTTTGGAGTATCTGACACGCACCTAGCAACAATATTTAAGAGTCCGAGCAACATAGTCCTAAACTACATGACTTATTTCTTCATCTTTTTCCATAAATACAAGAATAAAGGTTATTTTTTTTTACAACTTTGTATTAAGAATTTTGTTAATTTTGTATTTTAGTTTATAAATATTAATGATTATCTATATGGAAAATGGGGTGTAGGACACAGTAGAAGAAAGAATGCAACAAGTGCAAGCAAGAAAGCAAAGGATGATAGCTGGAGCTTTGACTGATGAAGAAGTACGTTCAGCTAGACTTGAAGAACTCAAGATGCTTTTTCGATAGTTGATTTTACCCAATGAAAAATCCAAATTATATATATTTAATTGGATGTAAAATTAGAGGAAAAAAAAGAAATATGTTCCAAGGGCGGATTAATTATTTTTTGTATAGTCCCAACTTTTCCACCTGAATTTTGTAAAGTCTTGTAAAAGTAACAAACCATGGGTAGTTGATCCTCTTTTTTTAAGATAAGTTATTTTTGTCTATGCTTTCGCTTTTAAAGTCCATAGGTTTTGTATATTCTTCATTCTCTAAATGGTTAGAGGTGGATCTAAAATTTAAATTTAATTAGTTTAACTTTTAAAATTATTTGTTCTAGATTCATTAAAATGTTAAAATTATGGATTTAAAGCTAATATTTGTTAAGATTTTAGTAAGATTTTAAATATAAATTCATACTCCGCATTTTGGATTTAGTTGAGCCTGTAGTTGAAAAGTTATATCCACCCTTGTTAATGGTGGTTCAATTGTTTTTGGCTAGTAGTAGAGGTGTCTAACGGGTCGGGTTAGCTCGTTTTCGGACCGGGCCAAACCGGTTGAAACCGGAACCGGCCCGGATCAGTACAAAGGGGGCCGGGCGGGCTGGGATAATAGGGTAAGGTGGGTTGGTCCGTTTACGTTGGGGCTACCGGTTAATCGGCCCGGTCAACGGTTTTTACTGTAGAACCGGTTAACCGGCCCAGCCCGGCACGGCCCAGATCAGTATAACGGCTACCTTAATTTTATTTATTTATTTTTATAATAGGGCCTGCCTTTTTCTGACCGTTGGCAACGGTCCTTGGGGCCGTTGCCCAACGGCAGATTTGCACAAATAGCCCATTTTCTGGCTTTTTAAAAAAAAAAAATAAACACCTTTTGTACTTACCTAATTAGCCCATTGAAAAACTATAAATACATTCCCCCTTTTCTTCATTTATTCACTCATCTCTCATTTCTCAAACTCAAATTCTCAATTTAAGTTAAATCATGCCCCGTACTTCTAGAGTGCGCTCATATGTTTGGGAACACTTTGAGGTGGTAGATGAAAATGAAGAAGTTCAGAAAGTAAAGTGCAAGAACTGTGGACGAGTCTTAAATCTTCGTCTAAAGTGTGACACAAGCTCTTTAAGGAGGCATATGAAGAGTTGTCTTGAGCGTCCTCTAGAAATTCGCATTTAAGTTGATTTGAGATAATTTGTGTTATTTTAAAATTATTAGACGTATTTATGCTTAATTTTTTTAGTTTGTTAGATTAATTTGAAGTATTATTATGCATGAAAATTTAGTTTTCTTTTTTTCCCCGTTAATTTACTTGTTAAATGCAAACTTCAATTTTGTAATTTTGAAATAAATGTAGCACTTACAATTTATAAGTGCAATTTTTTCCCATCTTCATTGTATTCTTTATATTTTTTTTTATATTAATATAACTTACAATAGTTATACAAAATACAAAAAAAAAGAAAAAGAAAAAATTACACTAACCCGGCCCGGCCCGGCCCCTTGTACCCGTAACCCTTAAGGTTCATTTTTTACCCGGATGAACCCGAACCCGTTAAATTCGGTAAGCCCTAACCCGTAACCGGCCCGGTTCCCAATCCGTACAGTTCCAAATTTTGCCTACCCAGCCCGGCCCGGCCCACTCGTTAGACAATCAATTAATTTTATTTAATTGAGCATAAAATTTCAGAAACTTCTTTTCCCTAAAAAGTGTAATTTTAAATATCTCATAATATTTATTTGTTTATAAGAACTTGTCTAAAAGACACACAAAATTAGTGGTATTCACTTGAAAACCTATAACATAGAGCGGTCAGGACGTTAAAAATGAATAAATATAGGCCTCATTTGTTTGCACTTAATGGAAATCTGAATCTTAATCATTCAGATCTCAGACATTAAGTGCGTTTGTTTTTAAAGTCTAAATCTTAATTATTCAGATCTTAATCATTATGTGTGTTTTTTTTTTACTTCACAACCACTTAATAGGTCCGAACAGGTCTGTATGTTTAAGATCTATAACAGAGACTTAATTTCATTAAGATGCTATCACATATTCATTATTAACTGCCGTCACCGCCTACCATTATCAACTACCACCATGCCACCACCACCACCATACTCAACCACCAGCACCACCACCACGCCACCATCATCCTCAATCATAGCCGCCACCATTATTGACTATCACCACCCACCATCCCCACCACTCCGACCACCATCATTCTCACCCACAATCAACACTGATCCACCTCAACTACCACAACTAACAATCCCATCATCATCAACAACTACAGTCAGCACTGCCCATCATTATAACTTACCACCACCCACCTACCACCTTCCTCAATCACAAGTACTATCACCACCCGCCATTATTAAATATCACCAACCACCACTACCATCCTCAATCATAATCGCCCCCACTACCAGTCATTACTAACTACTAGCATGAACCACCATCATCAACCAAAACTACCACCAACCACTACCTATAGTCGGCATTCACCCGTTAGCCATCACCACCAACAACTATCATATTTTAAAAAACTATATGTTTTATCGATAGAATACTAGATTAGTTAGTATTTCATTTGAACTTTATGTTTATTAATTTCAAATAAAGATAAATTATATACATTCAGATGTTAAAAATCAAACAGTCTTAATATTTAGTATTCAGATCTTAATACACATCTTAATATTTCGATGTGTATTCAGATTCAGATGTCTTAATCTTAATACACATTTTGATATTCAGATGCGTATTCAGATTCAGACATCTTAATCTTAAAAAAAACAAATGAGGCCCAAGTGTCTAACAAACTATTCCGTCTTTGATAATTTGATAAATATGATAAGTATCTTGACTGGCGGGATTTTTACTGAGTTGTTGTTGTTATTGTTGATAAGTATCTTGACTTGAAATCCTTGGCAGTCGTTGGTTACCAGGATTGAGATAGACAAGAATATTTAATGAGTTGAGATATGAGATTACCTATCCAACTTTTTATATTAGTACAAAATAATTTTCACAATTAATTAGTACCTATAATTAAAAAAGAAATAAAATAATATCATATTTTATCCTAAATATTTTTTTTAACCTACCAATCAAATGACCTCTTAGAGTTAAGAGGCCAGGATATCAAAATCAAACAAATATAAATATTTGTTAAATATTTTGTTTTAAATAACTATTTGATATATATATATATATATATATATATATATATATATATATATATATATATATAATTCGAGTAACAATTAAACTTATATTGTGATTTTAAGGATACGTGATTTAATCTAATACCAATTGATAAACAAGGAATTAATAAATAACTTAGAGAATAAAGTTGGTCAAACTAGTATGTTAGCCAAATTTCGACCCCGACCTAAGATAGCCTCGAGGTATCATAATAAGAATAGCAAAAGATAAAGCAACTTTGATGAACAGTAGAGTGAAATAGCAAGAAAGTAATGAGTGTATGTATTCTTCTCAGTGAATAATCATGATGGTTACAAATGAATGGGATCCCCCTTTGTATAATAGGGGAATCCTAAATAAGGTAACTTCTAATTATAGTAGGAAATCATATTAACATCTAATTAACCGCTATAGATTGATCCGTTCCGAGATTCACGCCACGATCCTCGACCAATCGCGGATATCTCGCCTTTTCCGTTATCAGGCTATGCCGATGCCACTCGAGGTCTGCCTCTTTCTGGTTGCAATCGATTTCTACCCCGATCCGGACTCGGCGTCCCAGCTCTTTGACATGATGTTCCTACCCCGACCAAAGAGTGAAATCGGGTAGCCCCGATTTCTACTTATACAAATAGTCCCCTCGTTTCTTAGAGTAAAACGATAAGAAAGGACTTGAGCCTTGATTTCTGGAGACCCTGAGAATGATGTCATCCCCGTGACGTAAGCGGTCGAGGTGACCGAAACGTCCCGTCGGTACAGCTCCCTAAACCATTAATGCTTGCCAGTAACGGTCGGCCACTAGCACCACCAAACTGTCGTCGTGAGTCTATAAATTCAGACTCTTCGGTTAAAATCAAATTTTACTTTCACCTTCACTAAATTTTCTAAGTTCCTTACTCTCTCCATCTCTTCTCTTTCACCACCCACTGAATCAACTTAGTTAGCACTAAAAACACCAACTTTCATCTCTTTCTGCTTCCCTTTACCTGAAACAATGGCGAAAACTTCCAAGACGGTCCCGCAAAAGGAGAAAGCTTCTTCCTCTTCTTCCCGGCCGGCCGGTGACAAAACGCCGGTGGAACCGCTCCCCCACGAGTACGTTCCCGGCCGATGTGAGCACGTATCGAGATATATCTGCTCGATAACGGCAAAATAGCTCGATACTGTGAAGAAGGACTGCAACTGGGGGGCCGAGGTCGTGGTTCAAATCCCTGCTCCCGAAGAGAGTATCACCACTCACATGGAGGGGTTTCTAAGTGTATACACTTACCCCTTCACATTGGGTCCTCTTGACCCAGTCACCGTTGAATTTTGCAAGACGTAACAAGTTACCCTCGGCCAGGTGCATCCCTCGTTTTGGCGCATAGTGATCATGCTCTGTTTCTTCCCCGGCAAGGCCGAGGGGTTGGAATTCACTCTCAGCCACCTCATAAGGCTGTTTCGACCTCGACTTTTTCGAGGATTAATCAAGCTCCAGCGTTGATCCACGAAGTCCTTTTTTGCAAGCATCAATGAGGACAAGGATCGAGGTTGGATGAGCCGGTTCATGCGGGTAAGGACCTGCGACCTCATCCCCGAGGAGAAACTGCCGTTCCCCGAGAAGTGGAACCCCGATCGTAAGTATCAGCCATTAATCTTCGTACTCCTTTTTTTGCTTTGTGTAACACCTTCATCTGTTATGCACCGGTTGCCCGGATGCCTCATGTGGTCCCCGACCTGAAGACTAGGTTCGGAAGTTGGCTGCTACTTCCTCCAATGATGAGCGCTGCTGGCGTGACTTGGCAAGGGGCAGATGGGAGGCCAAGAATCATGGTAAGTTTATCTTGTAAGCTTTTAGTGACCCTTTCTGTAACGTTTCTCTTTGTTCTCACTTGACTCCTTTTTATGCAGGTCTTGGGGATGTTGCTGAGATAAGGCCCACCTCGCCTGGGGAAGAGGTGGCTCCCAAATCGGCCAAGAAAAGGAGAAGGGCCTCGCCATCTGATACCCCGAAGTCC